GTATATTCACCATATAATAATCCTAGAATCAAAACCTAGATGGAAACTCTTTTCTCAGGAAACGTGCAATCCTATATATACACGGGATAAATCTACCTTCTATTTTTAGACTCATATTATAAATCTGTTTACTTAATAAAAGCCTTATTTCGTTTCTATATTTATTAAGAGTCCCAACGATGTGAATGGTAAGAATCTACCTTCTGTTTTAGATTCATATCATATAGTAAATCTGTTTAGTTAATAAAAGCCTTATTTCATTTCTATATTTATTAAAAGTCCCAACTGTATGAATGGTAAGAATCTTATAGCATTATTATATACATATATAAAATCGTGCACTTAATTACAGGTATCATTAATAACCCTAACTATATAAGGAATTGTGCATCTTCTAAATTATACACACCAGGACCAAACGACCTTCTATTATATATACACGTACATACCATAAACTTAAAAAGAACTCGAGCATCTTAGTGTTTGAAGGCAGAGGTTGAACAGGTATGTCATTAACCTTTTATAGTTCAATCATCTTTCACCATTAAATCAATGACCTTCATTCTGTTAAAAATCCTTCGTGAACTTACATCATATTAGATGGTTGATGCAATCTCTATACTTTTGGTTGAAGGACTACCAAAAGTCCAAAATTAACAGTAAGAGGGTGGCTTGAGAGGGTTTAGGGAGTGGTTTTCTAAAAAAGTTAACTGTATGATTGATAATGGATTTCTCTGGTGGTAGTACTGATTGTGATATGGATCTACACCAACAAGAACAACTTCATTACAATTCTATCATGAATTGGGTAGATTAAAAGATTACTGGGGATTCCCTATTGACTGATAAACATTAGGTTTCATCAGAATCTAAAATAAAATGTTAAGCATCACATTTACTGTTGAATAATTGTAGTATTTTTAAGGCAAAGAGAGGATTTTCAGTCAATAGTTTTTAATAGTTGAAACATTATCTAATTATCTAAATTATATCTCCAACTATAAGACTGTTGATGTAATCTCTATACTCTACCTATGTCATGTTTTGATATTCTAAAAAGATGTTTAGGTGAAGAAAACAACCCAGAAATATTTTGTTCTTCTAGCAATTGAATAGTTTGTTTTTCTTTTGTCATTTCTTTTTTCTTAATCAACAATTTTTAATTTTTATCTTCTGTCAACTTGTGAGATTAAGCTGATTGTGCAATATCTCAATTAATTTTTATAATTTTTATAACAAGTTAATTTAAACATGTTTTTTATAACATTTACACTTACTTTATTAATTAAAATTTACATCTTAGGTATGAACTACTACCTATATTTTATTTTTAGAAGTTTTTCAGAGTGTTTTTAGAAAGTCAAACTAAATGTGAAGCAATAAGATAACATATTTACAGTTTTAATTTAAGGCACAATCCTCCCCTTGATAAATGCATGCTTTTTAAACCTTCTTTCATATACGATTTGCGATATTTACTTTGCTTGGTTTGCTTAAATATTAACTCTTCTAATTAAGGCATGATTTGCTTATACAGTTTGATATTAAGGCAAATTTTATTTTAAGCAATTTTTAATCTCGGTAGGAATTAACTTCAATTTTTTTATTTATGGCAATGTGTATAATAAAGACCGAATTTATTCAGACATTTTTAATTTAAGGCAAATTTTATTTCTACCCATTCTGAATCTCGGTAGTAATTGTTGCCAAAAAAATATCTCGGCTTAGACAGTTTTAATTAAGACATGATTAAATAACTTCTATGTTGAAGGGATTACTATTGAGATTACTTAAGAATTAAAAAAATGTCTTAGGTATGAACTACTACCTATATTTTATTTTTAGAAAATTTTCAGATTGTTTTTAAAAAGTCAAACTAAATGTTAAGCAATAAAATAACATATTTACAATTTTAATTTAAGGCACAATCCTCCCATTGATGTATGCATGCTTTTTAAACCTTCTTTCATATAAGATTTTCCATATTTACTTTGCTTGGTTTGCTTAAATATTTACTCTGCTAATTAAGGCAAGATTTGCTTATACAGTTTGAATTTAAGATAACTTTTATTTTAAGCAGTTTTAAATCTTGGTAGGAATTAATTTGAATTTTTTATTTATGGCAATGTGTATAATAAAGACCGAATTTATTCAAACAGTTTTATTTCAAGGCAAATTTTATTTCTACCCATTTTGAATCTCGGTAGTAATTGTTGCCAAAAAAATATCTCGGCTCAGACAGTTTTAATTAAGGCATGGTTAAATAACTTCTATGTTGAAGGGATTACTATTGAGATTATTTAAGAATTAAAAAAATGTCTTAGGTATGAACTACTACCTATATTTTATTTTTAGAAAATTTTCAGATTTGTTTTAGAAAGTCAAACTAAATGTCAAGCGATAAAATAACATATTTACAGTTTTAATTTAAGGCACAATCCTCCCCTTGATGTATGGATGATTTTTAAACCTTCCTTCATATACGATTTTCCATATTTACTTTGCTTGGTTTGCTTAAATAGTTACTCTGCTAATTAAGGCGTGATTTGCTTAGACACTTTTAATTTAAGGCACCTTTTATTTAAAGCAGTTTTTAATCTCGCTAGAAATTAATTTCAATTTTATTATTTATGGCAATGTGTTTAATAAAGACTGAATTTATTGAGACCATTTTAATTGAAGGCAATTTTTATTTCTACCCATTTTGAATCTCGGTAGTAATTGTTGCCAAAAAAAATATCTCGGCATAGGCAGATTGATTTAAGGCATGATTAAATAACTTCTATGTTGAAGGGATTACTATCGAGATTAATTAAGAATTAAAAAAATAACTTAAGCATTGACTCCAATTTAAGTAATACTTTCATTTCATTACAATATTCAATAATTTCATACTGGAATACCTTATACTTTTATTTCATCAATAAATTAAACTGCAAAAATAGTAATTATAATTCTTTTCAAAATCATCAAAATCATCAAATTTCATAGACAGTTTTAATTAAGGCATGATTAAATAACTTCTATGTTGAAGGGATTACTATTGAGATTACTTAAGAATTAAAAAAAATTCTTAGGTATGCACTACTACCTATATTTTTTTTAGAAATTTTTCAGATTGTTTTTAAAAAGTCAAACTAAATGTGAAGCAATAAAATAACATACTTACAGTTTTAATTTAAGGCACAATCCTCCCATTGATGTATGCATGCTTTTTAAACCTTCTTTCATATAAGATTTTCCATATTTACTTTGCTTGGTTTACTTAAATACTTACTCTGCTAATTAAGGCATGATTTGCTTATACAGTTTGAATTTAAGACAGCTTTTATTTTAAGCAGTTTTTAATCTCGGTAGGAATTAATTTGAATTTTTTATTTATGGCAATGTGTATAATAAAGACCGAATTTATTCAGACAGTTTTAATTCAAGGCAAATTTTATTTCTGCCCATTTTGAATCTCGGTAGTAATTGTTGCCAAAAAAATATCTCGGCTTAGACAGTTTGAATTAAGGCATGATTAAATAACTTCTATGTTGAAGGGATTACTATCGAGATTAAGGAGAGGATTAAAAAAAATAACTTTATCATTCACTCCAATTTAAGTATTAGTTTCATTTCACTACAATAGTCAATAATTTCATACTGGAATACTTCATACTTTTATTTCATCAAGAAATTATACTGGAAAAATAGTAATTATAATTCTTTTCAAAATCATCAAACTCATGGGCAAGTGTGTTGCATTTTGTTCAGAAAAGCCATATAAATGAGATTAATATGTTATCTTATTGCTTGACATTTAGTTTGACGATCTAAAAACAGCCCGAAAAACTTCTAAGATAATATATAAATGATTTAAATAAATTCTACGTATTGATAATTACTACCGAGATTACTTAAAAATTAAAAAAAATGGCTTAAACAAAATCTGTCTAAATAGATTATGCCTTAATATAATATAAATGTACACAAAACTGCCTTAGAGAAAAACTTTGTCTAACACATATTTAATTTAAGTTGTGATCATTGTGAAATTATAAAAAAATACTTTGTTTTAAAATTCATACCTAAGATATTTTAGAAAGTGCCTTAATTAAAATTTACATCCCAGTAAGTCCAATTATATTTTCCACTTGCTTAAATAAAATTCATTTCATTACAATTGTCGATAACTTCTAATTGACTCCAATTTTTTCTCAAATAGGATGATAGGATTAAAGCTATTGTATCACAACAACTGGTGCACATCTTTGACGCCCAAATAGAAGAGGGTGAGACATATGCAATGATGCACTTTACTGTAAGGTCCAATATTGAACAATATCGGCCATGCTTCCACCGTTACAGACTATGTTTCACCGAGGAAACCAAGGTGAAGCGTCAAGAAAAGAGTACCATGTCATCCTTATCACCTTTTAAGTGTAAAAGCTTCTCAAAAACTTTTGCTGAAGGAGATGATGTCTGTCTTCAATTGTTTGGTAATCTCAAAAATAACACTCTGTTATTTTTTACTATGTATTTAGTAATTTGTGTAACTATATTATGTGTGATAATAATCGTAATCTCGAGACAAATTCTAGATGTAATTGGTGCATTCAAGGTCGGTGATAAGGTGTTCAAGGCGGAACCTGGAGCGCAAAAAAAGTGGTGTAACTTTTACCTTCATGATTTAGAGTTAAGTGATACAATCATTTCAAATTTTGTTATACTATATAATGTTCTCATACACTAACATTAAAATAATTTACATATTCTAATTTTACCATGCATAGGGATAAGAAGTTGCATTGTACACTGTACAGTGAGTATTCCGAACAATTCCTGGAACATGTAAAAAGGACAACGTCGGAATATGTAATCGTGATCATCCAGTTGGCACGCACCAACAAACGTTATGGTAGGACAAATATACATACACTTGCATTTACGAATTTATCGCAAAGAATTATTACTTTAATTAATACTTTACTTATATTTCTTTACGAAAACTGAATTCAGGTGAGCAGATGGGGGTCTCAACATCATATAATGCCTCAAAGGTTCTCCTTGACGTCAATGTCCCTGATATTGAGGAGTTTCGAACCAGGTAATATTGATAACGATCTTCATGGCAACCTTCAAAAAGCTTTGTCAATCTATTAATGTGAATCTTTCTTAACCCTCACATGGCAATCTAAAACCATGCTTTACCTTTGTTTTCAACCTTGGTAATTTGGTGATGGAGTTTTAAACTTAGTATTGTCATCAACTCATCAATGGTGAATAAATGATGCAACCACTTCAAATCATACAAATAACACATGATTACTAAAGTAAAAGACTCTTCATTGTTGTAAGTGCATATGTTGATCCATCCTTGCATATAGGGTGATTAGTTTCAAAATATTGTAGAGTAGATACCATGATAAGTGTGAATATTGATAATGTCCATGATAAGTGTGCAATATTTAGTAGATTTAAAAAAACACTTTTAGCAATTATTTCAATCTATTGACATTTATTGAAATTAATAAGGATGTTGGATATGGGGTCATCACAATCCTTGAGCTCAACATCATCACGACCTGCATTAAGTGATGATAAAGAAGTTGGAATTATCAAGATGTTGTCTGAACTATAAACTACTAAGGAGGTATATAATCATTCAATTTATTTCTGAATTTCAAATTCTCGCATTCTTATACGTATGTAAATCATTTTCATTTGTGAACAATGTACACTTGGAACAGGTTCGTGGGTTGTGGTTTTATGGGAAGATAAACGCTATTCTAAATGCTACCAGTTGGGCTTATATGGGATGCTTCAAAAGGTCATATTTAGTGATAGCCTCCAACACAGTCATATTTAGTCACAAGTAGATTCTTAATTAATCATTACATTTATTTAGATATTTAGATATCTAAATAAAGAAATAAGATTTTGTTTGGCATGTTGTACAGCTGCACTCCCCCCCACCCCCGAAATTCAAATAAGTAAATTCATACTTATTAATTAGTTGTACACCATGACAGGCTGTTGCCATTTTTTAAACAACTAAGCTATTTAGATCCTTTTTATACAATTGAAACAGAAGGCTTTGTATTACAACTTCCGTTTATTTTATAATTAGGATTTCATAATAATATATTTTTTGAAACTAAAGTTGATTTCCCCGTTCACTATAGGTCATGTCGTGCAAGAGCCATAAAATGTGATAATGAATTTGAGTGCACGAAGTGCGGAGTGCGGTCTTCTGAAGAAAACTGGCTCTACAAATTGAAGCTGAACGTTGTGCATGGTCGTCACAACGCTGAGCTGCTATTCTGGGATCAAGCATGCAAGCAGTTTTTGGGAAAACCTGCGTCCGATTTTCGTGAACATCTGGATGATGTATGTATATAACAAGTATTAGTTTTGTTGCTTTGATTTCCTATGTCAAAACTCCATGTGCTGGCTGCATGAATGTATCTATAAATGCTTTAAAGTATTTGTTTCTCTTCGTTTAGGTCAAGTTAAGACCTCATAGTGCTCCTCCATTGTTCTACGACTTGGGTGAGCGGGAGTACTTATTCAAAATTGAGAGAGACATCGCGAGTTTAGATGGATCCGATGCTGCGTTTTGCATAAGCATGACAACAGACAATAAGGAAAAGATTGAGCAGATTAAGTCATCCTGGAAAGATGAACCAGAGCCAGAGGTACTTCGTTAGTCTTAAATATCATAAAGTATTTTTTAATAGAAGATATAAAATAAGATTCAGTAAGTTCAAACAAATACTCCCTCGGTATTTTAAAGTTCCATACACTTTCCATTTTGGGACATATTTAAAAGTTCCATACATTTTCCCTTTTTAGTAAGTTTTTTCTTTAAAAATACTTAACTACCCTTACTTTTTCCACTTTTTATCTTCTCTTTCCTACTTTTTCACCATATATCCTACTTTTTCTATACTATTCATCACCCCTACTATTCTCCCTTAAATCTTGTGCCATAACCTAACATAAGGATCTTTTAATTACGGAGGGAGTATGAACTATACAATTGTGTTGAACTTACAATGGGGTGAATGCAGGCTGAATATAATTCTGATTCAGATCTTGACTTAATTCTTGAACCTCGAACTACGGTAGAATCCAACTTGGTAAGTTTGAATACTCACAACAATTGATTATGCCTACGCAAATATAAACCCAAAATCTATATAAATTATTATACAATATTTATTATGTTTTCATTCAGACACCAACATCACCTGAGCATGACCAAGGGCAGACTCCAATTTCATCCTCAAAGAGAAAAACTGAGGATATAGATGGTAGCAAAGAAATCTCAGATGATAAAACACTGGGGTCTACAAATAAGAATAAGAAGTTGAAGGAGGTCAAAAAAGAGAAACTTTGAAGTTCGCCATTTAGAAAACAAGATTTTATTTTTTGTTTGATTATTCGTATTTCTGCATTCGCATTTCCTCCTAAAGACAATTTTTTAAAGTTGTGATTGTGCCGTTTGTTGGCCTTGAATAAGGGAATTCCTCCCAGTTGAAGACAAGCTTTGATTTTTTTTTTGCCTTTCAATTACTTCTAATATACGAGAGTAAAAAATTGTGTGCTACTTTTTTCATTATTTCTCCAATTCTAATTTGTTAAAAAATTGTTTATAATTCTAATTTGTATTCTATACTTTTTGGAAATATGATTTATAGATTTTATATTTCAAAAATTAAGTATTTTCTATTTCAAAAATTAAGTATGTTACAAATTGGTTGTAACATAAATAAGAAAAATTGGACATGTACATATTTTTAATAAAATTAGGAGAATAAATAAAAATTGGAAATAATACCTAATTGTGAATTATATGTAACACAACATTACATTTTAAAAATAGAGGAATTGATATGTAAAAAATCAAAAAGTTTCAAAATCTACAAATGATTAGAGCCACAATATCAACTATTATACAGAGTAAATATCAAAATGTATAGTTAATATAGTGTGTTTAATAAATATATAAATACATTAAAAGGAAAACATATTCTTAGAAAAGTATTCCCATATTAGTCTTACTTTGAGGATTAGCTACACAATGACAATGAACAAAAGTTAATGGTAATTCATAATTGTTGGAAGCCGTGAGTGTCTTCTTATGTTATTCTCTTTTTACGCATTCACCATTGCATGTTCCAATTCTAAGAGTGACAAAATATTTGTGGCTTGAAATTTATGATATGTGAAGGTGAAAGAAATTCGAAAAAAACTATAAAATGATGTTGTTTACATGGAGTTTTCAACAACATATAATGTTTGCATATATTAAACTTTTTATAGTTGCTACTACATATTATTTATTTATCTCATTCATAAATGCATTTATACAACATTTAACTACTACTAAATATCTAAGTATGGAGTATTACATCCCGTGCAACGCACGGGTGGAATACTAGTTTAAAATATAAGGAAACGAGATAGAGTCCAAAACAGGGGTCCTCGTAGAACATGTGGCAACATATCACCAACCCGCCATTTGAACGGGCTGTCCCAACCGATCTTAGCAACCAGCATTACAGCAGAATTACATTGGGTAGGAATTGGCCCAACACCACTCACAAATGCATACTCGGCCGCAAAGCCCAGAAACCGCCCCAACATTTCCTAGTTAAACACCTCGACTTCAACGGGCATCATTTGAACTGTCACTCCACTCCACTCCAGAGCCTTCTTGAACACCTTGTCAACTTCTTCCCCTTCAACCGACGACCCACTGAGCGGAAAACCCTCCACCGCAACCGTTGCGCCTGCATGGTCTCGCAGGAGGAAACCTGCTGCAGATCTTCCACTCTGACGGAATATCGCCCAACTTAGCTTCAGCTTGCCATTTGGGGGTTTGCTCCACCTCCAGGCTCGAGGTTGGATTCGGCCAAAGCAATCAGGTAAAAATCCAACCTCTTTAAGTCTCTCTCCTCCTTTCAGTTTCTCATTTGCAAAGCACCAAGTAATCATAAAATTTATAATGTGTGAAATGATTTTGTTCGAGTCTGGATCAACCTCCTTCCAAATAGCTTCCCAGTAGGCTTTCCAGATATGCCAGACAATTACCCCCAACACAACTACTATGTAAGTAGCATCTAATGATTTACCTCTACCGGTAATCCACCATTTTTTAATTTGATCTTTAACCTGTGTAACCCTCCTACCTTGGATGTGCAACGAGCTGTCAAAAAATGCCCAGATTGTGCGAGATGTACTACACCTTAGGAGAACATGGTCCTGTGAAGCCTCTGTTGACTTACAAAGTGGGCATCTTGAGGGGTAAAGAACTCCCAACGCACCAGTTGCTACGGGAAGGGCAACCCTTTGTGCCACAATCTCCATAAAAACACCTTTATTTTAGGCACCTGTCTGGGGTGCCAAATGAATGTATAGGTTAAATTGCTCCCCCCCCCCCCTCTCGTTAGAGCTTGATAGGCTGATTTATTAGTGAAGTGCCTCTCTTTAGTATGGTTCCATGCGATAGAGGCAAGAGGCTTAAACTCACCCATGGCCTTTCTCCCATACCTACTTTTCATAAGTCTAGCCCAGATTGAATCACCCATTGGAAACTCCCACCAGAGTTTTATCGCAGCAATTTTTTGTGACTGCATAAGAGATCTAAGACCTACACCCCCAGCATTTGTAGGCCTACTCATCTTCTTTAAAGAAATCCAATGATGTTAAGGCCTATTCTCCTTGAAGCTCCAAAAGAAATTTGAAATTTTCTTGTTAATAATATTCATAACCGAGGTAGGAATACCTGTAACTGCTAGTACATGTATAGGAATTGAGCTTAGTACATGCTTAATAAGTGTAAGCCTCCCACCCTGGGAGAGGAGTTTCTGACTCCAAGAAGAGAGCTTAATGTCTAAATTCTGCATGAGCTCCTTACAATGCCCCAGCCTGGTAATGCCTTTATGTATCTGTACCCCTAGAAACTTAAAAGGCGGATTATGGTGCTTCATTCCCAATTCATTTTTAATATGAGCAATGCGGCCTGCTGAGGTATGCTTACCTGCAACAAAGCAGCTTTTATCTTTATTTATTAGCTACCCTGTAGCCCTCAGATAATCATGCATGAACCTATTGAAATTTCGAATAGACTAAGTAGAACCATTTAGAAAAATCAATAGGTCATCTGCGATGGCAAGGTGGGTAACATTGAGTGATCTCCCCATGTTAAACACCCCAATGTCCCCCTTAAGATTTAGATAATTGTAACCCCTCGAGAAGGCCTCCGACATGATAATAAATAATATAGGTGAAAGTGGGTCTCCCTGCTTTACTCCACGCTGAGGTTGAAAGAAACTATAAGATGCTCCATTTACCATGATAGAGATATAGGTGGCCTGTAGGTTTCCCATAATAAGCTTTCTAAAATCCTCTACAAATCCAAATCTGTGAAGTATAGCATCCAAAAAATCCCAAGCAACTCGGTCAAAAGCCTTAGCCATATCGAGCTTAAGAGCTATGTTAGACCCAAACACCTTCCTGTCTAAATGATGTAACACCTCGAAAGTTGTAAGCACTTGATATTGAATCTCTTTTCCCTTCATAAAACCTGATTGCTCATTAGATATTATCTTGGGCAGTAAGTCGGCCATTCTAGTAGATATAATTCTTGTGTTAATTTTACTTAGGAAAGTTGATAGGCATATAGGTCGAAAATCCCCAAATGAAGTAGGATGTTTCTTTTTGGGAATTAAGACCATATTCACACTACCCATTCTTTTAGGAGTAACAAACCCCAGAAAAAATTCATGGACAGCCAACATAACATCCATCTTAATAATTTCCCAGCATCCCTTATAAAAAGAACCTCCATACCCATCTGGACCAGGAGCAACATCCTCATTAAGCCCCCAAATAGCCTCCCTAACCTCCTGTTCGCTAGGCAGCATTAGTAACCTCACATTATCCTCCTCATTCACTAAATTGGGAATACAATGTAGCACCTTGTCGTAGGAGTAAGTAGGCTCAAACTTGTAGAGATTTTCAAAAAACCTGACTGACTGCCATTTCCCCAATTTCACGAGTAGAGTAAATCCAATATCCATTATCTTTTTAATCGCCCTGATAAAGTGCTTTAGCTTTTTATCCTTCACCAAAGAATGAAAATACTTAGAATTTGCATCCCCGTCCCTGAGCCATCTTACATTAGCCTTTTGTCGCCAGTAACTATCCCTCTGCTTGACCCTTTTCAGTAGCAAAGCTTGTTTAAGGTGACAGATTGCTCTAGTATCATCCGTTGGATTTTCTTCAAAATCCTTCTCTGCTAAAATTGCATCATGCTCCAGTCTTTTAATATCCTTAAAAATATCACCAAAAACCTCCTTATTCCAGATTCTTAAATCTGCTTTGAGTGAACGTAACGTAAGACACATACCTCGCATCCCTCCAATCCTTAGATATTCCTCCCATTTATTTTTCACAAATAACAGAAAAATCTCTTTCGTAAACCACATATTTTGGAAGCGGAATTGAGCAAGTCCCCTAGCTGAAGGCACTTCTCCAATGAACAGAATGCGGCAGTGGTCAGACGAAGCTTTACTAAGATGTTGCACATTAATATTCTCAAATACATCCATAAGAACTTGGTTGACTAGGTAACGGTCTAGTTTTTCCTATATTCTTCCGTTAGCTTTGGTGCCCGTCCAAGTATAGGAAGATCCAAAGGTTGGTTGGTGCATCAAGTCACAAGCATCTATGCATTCCCTAAAGTCCAGCATATCTCCCACCCTGGGCGATGAGGGCCCTTTGTATTCATCAACCGAAGCCACAATATTAAAGTCACCACCTAACACCCACGTCTCCCTATCATTCTGAGCACAACCTCTCAAGCCTTCCCAAAGATGACCCCTTTCCAGACGCGTATGCTTACCATACACCGGAGAGAAGACAAAATTCAGGTCCAGAGGAATGAAGTTCATTTTAATCACCAAAAATTGGTCTCTATCATATCCGAAATGGATAGAACGTCAAACATAGACGAATTCCACATAATCCATATTTTATTAGAGTTTGACATAAACAAGTTTGAAAACCCCAGAGAATTCATATAGGAAACACAGGTAGAAGCATTAACCATATGCTCAATAATCGTAATTAAATTTAGGCTAAAGGGTCAAATAGGCCTCTGTACCTTTCCGGATTGTTCAATTTGCCCCCCCCCCCCCGAACTAAAAAAAGCTCCAATAGGCACCCTGAACTCCCTACAAAGATTCAAATTTTACTTTTTGTAGGTCACAAGCCGGTCACCGCCACATCACCTGGTAGGGTGCCAACTGTGCATGTGACATGGAAACTTAGGGGGTCAAACAAGCCCCTGAACCCGACTGAAATGTTCAATTTACCCCCTCTTCCATATTATCATCCGTTACAACCTTACC